GATTCGTCAGAGCACGGAGATCACGAATCTCATCTTATTTTTTTTATTGGACCGAATTTTCAGGGAAAAAATGCAAAACACTGAGAAGGCCACAAAATCACCAAAAAGTGGGCTGTTCGACTGAAATTGATTTTCTCTAGTCCCATGAAATTTTATTGGCTTCTGGTTTTTTCCATGATGATTAGCATCAAAAAAGCAACAAGAAGAGCTATTTCCGAGACAATTCACATATAATGTGATCTGGACATTTCTACCCTTTTCGCAGGGTTCCAGAACGCGACCTATGCTCACGAAAAAAGAATCAAATCTCTCTGGTTAAAAAATAGAGACTTGAATCACTTGAATTTCACGGTGCTCGAAATATTCACGTGATTGATCAATTAAACATAGCATCGTTGGAAAAGTTTGACCTTTTACGAACAAACGCCTTCATTGAACACCAAACTGATTCTATGGGATTAAGCTCGCAATAAAATTTTAGACAATAGATACTTTCATTTTATACTTCATGCCAAGTTGCTCAAGTTTTGTGCTCTATGAATATGGGGGTGTTCTGGAAGGCAGTAGAAGCCTATACAAATGGACAAAAATATGCTGAAGTACTTCAGCTTTTCTATAGTAACCTTTGCGTTGGTACAGTACAGTCTCATAGGCGTATACCACAGTCAGTTTTATCGGCTTAAAACAGCTTTTTGTCTTTTCGTTGTTTTGAACGGTTTTTTAGTGTTAATTACGTGTGACAGCATATTGTAATTTTATTGGCTTCTGGTTTTTTCCATGATGATTAGCACCAAAAAAGTTGTTTTAAAGTTGTTTTTAAGGTTATTTCCAGGATTTAGCCTACGGTTTACAGAAACCTCAGTTTCTCAGCAACGAAAAGCAATAAAAACTAGACGCTACGTAACTTCGCTACGTAAAATCCTTTCCTGTTCCTGTTTTCTGAAAGTCGATAGTACGAACCGTGCAGTTAATGACCGCGGGCGATTGGCGGTTATCTGATAAACTACAGTTTACTGACGACGATATAGAAGTGCGTCCCAAACACCCAAATGCAATCGTCTATGGCATTAAAGTTCTATTGTACAAGTATAAAAAAAGTTCTTGAACTGTACATTTCGTCAATACTAATGCACTGTGCTATATTTTCCGTGTTCTCATATGCTGTACTTCAGAATTTATTTTGAATGTAGATATACACAGATGTATCGGACAGAACTACATTGCGGAGTATTTATTCCCAGCGTGAGAAGTTCGACTGCTTTCAAATTCCAATCTGAAACTTTTTCTCCCATGAGACGGTTTAACTTGTTTTACATGCTTGAACACATGGTAACCTGAAGAAAGGAAATGTCATTAGTTATGTAACTATGTTTCATCATATTGTATTAGAGCCTCAAAAACACACACAATATTGTAAGTCCTAACTGTGTACAGTAAAACATGTATTTTAAATTTCCTATATAATTTGATCTATTTTTTCTGTGTTAACGCAGCACAGAATGAAGACGGCATATTATATTCTTTTGTGGTTGGTTCACGCGAATACGATATGGCATGAACAAGCGACAGGATTTGTATACTCAACTGATCAACGTTCTGTTAAAGTTAATGGCAATGACATGGAAGCGCTCGCATTGGTACAACGAACAGTTGACGAGGATGGTAATATTGCGAAAAAAAATGAGTATGGTGACCTAAAATATCTCAAAAAGACTGTGAAACCCAGTGTACGCATAGGACGAGTAGAAATGTTTCTGTACCTGTAAGCTGTCAATTATAATGCATGACACATTAATATAGAACGTGGGAACTTCGTTTAATTAAACACAAAAGGAGTGGAAGATTACTGTTGGATAAAGATTCTCTGATTCAACGAGTTTGTATTTCAGAAATAAAGTAATAAATTCAAAAGAGTGTAACGCGAAAATGGAGTTTAGTGCGTGAAATGTTGAAGCTCAATTTTTAGCGTTTTTAGTAGATATTTTTTTCTTTTTCGGAGTCAGGTAGTGTAGCTGAACGACATGCTGAAAGACTTAATATTTTCTCTTAGAAGCTGTTTTACATCTCAAAATACTTCAAAAACATTCGTATTCCTAATTAAGGGTACCCCAACCCTGCCTCTTTTTTGCAGAAAAGTTTTCATGTTGAGCTGAACATAGTCTAATGTAGAGAAAAGTCTGAACTATAAAAACGAGACCCCTCCCAGCTCTTTATGACCTTTCTTGAAAAAATTATGAAGTTTTTAACTTTTTCATTCAACGCGTAGAAAATCTCAGCTTTTTAGGTTTGTAAATCTTTTATCCTTTCCTATATATTCAAAATGCTTTCTTATACATAACATGATAGAAGAAAGTATGCTCTTCAAAAGATGTCTTCCAGAATTTTCCGATGGCTTTTCGTGGAGATATTAGCATCGCTCCGAATGTTCTGAAAAACACAGCTCTGTGTACAATATGTGTTTTCTCGATAGTCCCCTCAATCCAGTCACATTGCATTAAAATGGTTCATTCAAGCTGAAATTTTTACCACAGATACTTTAGATCCTATTTCAGGATGTAGATTTTTCGAAAGCGCTTTTGATTTCACACGTGAGAAGGTTTTTTATACAGGATGTTTAGTATATCTTTTTTCGAATATCTCGAGAAGTTAAGCATATTTTTCGCAAAGAAAAAAAACGAACCCGAGTAGGGTCGGCAGTATTTGTGGTAAAGTTTTGAGCTCGATCGGACCATTTTTTCGAGGGGTCGAAAGGCGAAACTGGCGTTTTCTATAAAATCCAAAAGAAAATGTCAGAAAATTCTGGGCGAAAATACATCAATTTTCTTTTTCAATGTTCTATCTAAGGTATAAATTTCACCCCGATCCGACGTTGGTTTTTCCAGTTTCCAAGAGGGTCAAAAAAGAGTGGGGAGGGGGCGGGAGGAGTACCCTTAAAACGGCTACTTAAACAAATGATCCCAAGATTAAACTAGTGACGTTTTGTGGGACAAGCAACTCTGTAGACGATGCGTTAAGGTACAGTTCTTGCTCAGCCATGTCTTATCACAGACGGCATCGCATAATAGTTACGTTGTTCGCCACGTACTGCAAATGTACTGTGTTCGAACCTCGGCGCCGCTGGATCATGTAATAACCTTGAATAAATTACTTGTGTCTTAGTGTCTCGGATTACCTAGTTGCGACGTACAACACAGCTCTTCTGGCTGGTTCCTGTAGCTTTTCGAAAAGCTAGTATTTGGTTAGTGAGTGTGCGCTCAAGTAATTGGGCAAAAGAATTCTGCGTTAGGCTAGCTTTCTTATTAGAGTGACACTTGATGATTAGCGACGAGATAAGTGACCATGTCAGAAGCTTGTCAGCTGCATGGAAGGTTATTGAAATTAACATTCAGCAGTACCTTATACCGGAAACGGTAGCCGCCAGGCGAGATATTCTTCCTTCTTCCTTCTTGATCACAGATACAAAATTGGAGTGGAAGGTACTCATGCCGAACAAATCAATATGAAATTTCTTGAAATTAACGATCATCTATCGCTTTAGAGCACTGCATAGGTGTGACCGCTTATGACCGGTTACAATTCCAATTTGTTAAAGGAAATTGATTTTTTCCGAAGTTTCACTAATAACTGACTTTTGTAGAGCAAATATTTTCCATAAGATGAGCTATGAAGGCAGTATTCGTCCTGATACGGCACTTAAAACAGAAAAAATATTTCTTACAAGCCCCTAGTCGGCTATAGCCGAATAACCAGATACAGTTGACTTTGAGTCCTTCGCTGAAAAGTGAATGCGGTAGAAAAAGAAAAGATGAAGACTTCATGTAGAAAAATATTTTGCTATATAAAACTCTGTTGAGTGAAATGTTTTCGTACGTTTATGTTTCATACAATTCGCGCCAGAAAAAAGGTGACACATACCGGATAGCACCTGTGGAACCCTGGCACTGGACACTAAATATATTCACATTCCCTCATCTGCACTCATTTCTACAACGAATGTGAAAACATCATATACTTTTGTCAGTACTTTTAGTAATTAAAAGTCTAAAACACTTTTCTCAGTGTATATTTCACTGTTTCAAGTAAGATTTCGCTTTACATGTGACAAAGTATTGCTCCGAGAGTAGTATTAACTTTTTAACAGTGCATCGGTGTTTAGTAACCATTTGTTCGATTGAATTTAATTGCTGTAGTTCGCTTTCTATTTGTAACCTTAGGCCAAAATGCTTTAGCAGTGAAGTCCCAGCGCCAGCCACCTCTTCCTCCACCACTGCCGTGAGTAATTCGTGTTATTTCCCTCTTTTCGTTGTTTTCCCTGAAACCTTTGTCAGGGGGAGTGTCGACTCACCTAACCGCATAACCGACTCACATAACCTAAACATGCATATGGCAAAATCAGATTTTTCTAGACTTTATTATTGGTAATTTAATATTCGTTTCCTATATACTGATATAAAGACTAAGTTTACCATAATGGTATTGATGAATGATGTCTAGTGGATCACAACTAGGTGGATTCTGGGATCCATCAATAGAATAAACAAACAATGACAAGAGGAAAGGAAGCGAAATAATAGAAATGGGTTAGCATGCTTTCATAAAATAAAATGAATTGAAGCAATAGATAAACGGATTAAAATCTCGATAAAATGTTTTATATTCGGTGAAACCCTTTATGAAAACCACTAACTTGTTTGAATTCGTTAAAAATTAGACGAGTGCACTACTTCACGATCGAGAACAAATGCTAGCTGACATTAAGGTAGTTCTAGCGCGTTCGAACCACCGAATATGAAGTAATTGACACGATTTCAACTGATTGATTCGTTTAGCTCAGTCATTTTATTGTGATATTTCCATAGATCACGAGGTTCGAACACATTCGCATCCTTTCGACGATATTTCGCTTGTACACGTACGCTAAATATACTCTTTTTAAGTGTGGTGATGTGCGCTAGAGCTTTAAAATCGGCTTCAGAAAATGCGCCGAAAACCCTCTAAGGATGGTTAGAGACAGCAGGTGACGTTAGAAAATGAGAAGTTTACGAAAAATGATCGCTGTATTAGACGACAAAACTCGTGTATCTTTTCTACTACCAACTGAACGCTACTGCAGGGATGAATACATTAGAATATGAGTGTATATCCATTCAGAATCTTCGCAACATTTTCGTGAATACATTTGAAAATAAATTCTTACGAGGCCAGGTGCACAAGTGATGCATCGCTTTTACCGTGAAACCTACTTGGTTATATGTAAATTTTGATGCTGATCTCGAATCTGATATTCATTTGTGCTGATAGGGTTTCTGTTATGGATCTGTGCAAATCCGGTCTCTGGAGACATGCCTTAAAAGGTCTCAGGATCATCTCCTATGTACCATTTTGTAGAGAATTAAATGGTGATCTTTTGCAAAAAACAGCTGAATATATTTCATATAGAAAATGTCAATTTATAGAGAGGGATTGTAACCTTTGGACCACCCTTTACGAGAACTTGAATTATTACCGTACTTTGTTTCATGAAAACCTTATGTCTCAGCCAAAACCTACTTGACAAGTTGGAAAACTTTTCCTATAGGTAATTCGATGCGCCCTACTAACTGCACAGGTCAGAATCTCTTCATCGTGGATTTTAAGAATTGTCTCCAGAGACCGGATTTACACAGATCCATAACAGAAACCCTATCAGCACAAATGAATATCAGATTCGAGATCAGCATCAAAATTTACATATAACCAAGTAGGTTTCACGGTAAAAGCGATGCATCACTTAGGGACCTTCCCTCGTTAGAACTATGGAAGTGGCATACTTGTTTTATCTGTCATTCGGGAAAACAATCCGCCCAATTTAATTCAAAGTAGTGAGATCTTGTTCAAAATGCGACGCTTCAGCAGTTTTAATGGAATCCACCATACATTCTCCTTATTGTATAATTCTCTCAGTCGAATTACAAGAAATTTTGCAAGAGTTAGTATTAATCTTTTTTCGGAATAATTTCAGAAAGCCTTCGAAGCGTTCAGTAGAATTTTGCAGATTTAAGAAAACGCTTTAAGGATTCTAATTGTTGCTAAACTATTTCGGTGTTTTGAATACTCTCTGTTTTAAAGAGCAAATAATCAAGACATCTTTTTTAATTGTTTTAGTCCTCCACCTCCATTTCGCATTGTACCGCCGTATTTCAAATCTATACGTACTACCACAGAAACACCGACTACAAGTAATTAGAATTTATACTTGATGCCATCATTCCTAGTTGAAACTAAAATCGTATTTAGAAGACAATGTCTTCATATATCAAGAATTCTTGACTTAGAACCACTAAGAACGATATACAAGTTCAAAAAAAGGCAATAAACGTTTATTTTCGGACAAACTGATATAGAGGTGTATATGAGTAAGTAGTTTTAAATATATAGTATCGATACAGAATAGTAGAAGCTATGCTGTAGATGGTACATTAAAATTATATTATTAGTATCGAAGAAGTACTGTGTGACATTTTCATGTAGAGCGACTGCTATACAGAGCAATAGTGAAATTTTCTCGGTTGCCTTCTTGAAGTTGTTGTAGCGCAGAAGATACAGATTGAGAGATGTTCATTAAAAATCTTTCATTAAAACATTTTTTTTAATGGAACTCAGATATCGCACATATATATATATATCTGTATATTTTTTTCTTTTTAATGCAGTAATGTACAATGGGTAAGATTCTTAGTACATAAAGTTTGCTTTAAATCTTTATTTTATTCTTGCTGATATCAAAAATATAGTAGACGATATTTAGACAATGTCAAGTATATCTGTACAATTTTTTTCAGCTATGTGGCACCCCTTGAACCAGCTCCTTCAATCGTCTCATCGCCTAAATTCATTCTTCAGTTTCCTGATACTGGAGTCAAATATCAAATATTTAATAAAGATGATACGTTTGTTTTAAAACATGTGACATTAGAAAAGAAACAAGACTTGTTTCGTAATGGTGAACTTGGATATGTAAATAAAATGTTTCCAATCGAGTATTATGCAATTCGTATGCCGACTGAAAAGATTCATGTCACATCTTTAGAAGAAGCTAATAATTAAGCATTAGTTAGTTTGATCTTTGCCAACAATGCACATAGTCATAATCATTATAAACCAGAATCATATGTGATGTTTAATTCTAAAACTCATCCAATTTACATTGAATATTTAATTTCACATACAAAAATAGCAGGAAGAGGTATAGCTAAACGTCTTACACAGATCATTGAACATCTCGCATGGGAAAAACGTTTACCAGCTGTATTTTTATCATCGGTTCCAGCCGCAATTCCATTTTATGAAAAAATGAATTATCGTCTATCACTAGGCGAAGGTCACACATACTGGAAAATTAATCCCAATTTTTCTTCTAAGGATAAAGAAATAATTGACCATCTACTTGCATTGAAACCTGCTCAATTACCTGGTAAATAAATTTTATCATATTATTTTTGTTAAATGTCTAAGAAATGTTTTTCGTATTTCTTAGATAAGTTAGCCATAAATAACACTGCAACAAACCTACAAGAACGCTATGATGATCTTGTCAATTTTTTTTCTTGGATATATAATAATCGTGAGGAATTTAGAAAACTATTTATCGTACCAGCTGATGCTACTGAACTGACTCCGGAACAACGTCTCTGGCCCGATCGTATGCTAGAGTTCTATGAAACTTATTTGGACAATCTAAACAAACTACCAGAAAATCTTCCTCATCAAAGAAAATTATCGGCGTCAGTTGAAAACAAAAATCAACAACCGCGCCTCAGAAACAAAGCGAGTTAAAACAAATGTTAATCAAGTGAATAATAAACTAATTTATTAACAGAAACGTGTTGTTGTTTTTTATCATTGACGATATTGAAAATACTATCTCTTTCTCTAACGAGAAGATTTTCAATGTCTCATTTTGTGAAACTTTTTTTAAAATTTTTTGCCGAAATAAAACGAAAGTTTTAGATAAATGTTTTAGATAAAGAACACACGAAAATCTATAAACACAGTGTTTAGAGGCTTTTATATCACTTTTATGGTACATATTTACGTGCCTAGCCAAACTTCCTGCGGGAATCCTAGAAATCTATCATTTCATTAAATCGAACAATTTTTGTTCATGAAAACATCCAACTGACATATCACTCGACGCAGTTTTGTGCGCTGATTTCGAATATGTTATTATTTTTCAGTACAGTTGCTTCTAGAAGGAGAAAAAAAGACTTTACTCCAAAAACCAAAGATGTTTAGAAACCTACAATTCAGTCCAGAAACAATTTTGCTACTTTTTGCTATCTGTGTAGCTGTATCACTAGTAGAACAATATTCTGCGAAACTTTCATTCAATTTGGACCTTGGAAAAAGATGTGAATCCGACTATACTGAGGTCCGTTCTTCGGAAAACACACATGGCGTAGAAAGAAACATTATTTTCTCAATTCCAAAGGTGCCTACAAAAAAAGTTTTTTATGGATGGGTACAGTGAAAGGTCTAGTTTCAAATTAGGTGTGATTTTTATAATTATCGGATTTGATTTGGCGAAAAATATTCCTCTAATTTACAACAAAAATTTTGTCAGCGATTTCTGTCACTAACTAGGACACTTACGAAAAAGCTTCTTGTACCATTTAAATAGGAGCGTAAGGTAAAGTATATGACGTCCTATTTGAAGCTTGAAAGAACGCACTTTCGTTTTTCCACCTAATGTCTACGTGGTTGCCCATTGTCTACTATAGTGCTCTGAATACAAATACATTTTTTTTATGCAGAAGTAATAGAAAATTATTATACTACATATAGTTTAGTTTTCTTCAATTTGTCATCTGTTTCAATCCTTTATTGTACATATTCCACTCAAAAAAGATCGTTTTTCTCATCCATCTGGGTAAACGAATATAAAGCTCTGGATGAGTTGGCCAGAGAATTGATGTCCGCTTCCGATATTGACGATAATCTATTTGGTTACCATAACGTTTATTATTACTAATCTCCGATGACAAACTAGCTTCACATAGCATAGCAAACAGTGTGAATAATGGACTGAACTGTGATAAAATTAACATCCAAAAATTATATCGATATAAAGGATGATAGCAAAAGAGATTGAGAGCTACAATTGATAATCCCAACCAGCAAAAGACTTCACCACAATGATTCGGATTTCGACAATAGTTCCACATTGAACCAAGATGATAATATTTCTCCTTCTTTCCAACAAGTTTCGCCTTCAATTTTTTTCCGTCTGCAAATCCTTCCATAATGAATCCACACAGCCAAAAGGCTAATCCGAGCAAGTCTAAGATACTGAATTTAACATTTGAGATCGGAAAAGCATGGAGTAGCGCGACTGGTAAGCAACAAATAACGGACCAGAATGCGTGTGGACCGAACCAAAAACCAACAACAGCTAGTTGTCCGTGTTTCTTCGCCAAGTCTTCGATACGAGTATCCAATGGACACAGAAAAAGCATTCGATAGACCAAAAATCCACCTAATCGTATCGACCACGCCAAAACACATAACGTCACAATGATTTGACGGAACTGCAACGATTCGGCTTGTGTCCACGTAGTATAAAATAATGACCAAATTACACCGGGTATAAATTCTATCAAACCGGTAAAATTGTCCATGACACGAAAATAAGAACTTGGTGTATTGATCACCAGTTGCATAAAAAATGAAGGAATAAAGATACGTAGTAAATGAGGAGATAAATCATGGAAGAAATCAAACGAGAGAAATGGAAACATTTTAATCTCAAAAAATCAAATTAACATAAACTAAGTTCTTAGATACAATAATAAAACTATGAGTTACAAAACAACCACAAAAATCAGACTGTCCGAGATGACTTTACCAACATTAAAGATTTTCATAGATTAAGTGAATCCTACAATATATACAGTCCTGTGCAAAATTATAGAGAAAGTTTGCTTTTTGATTTTTGTACTCGACCGTACTGAAAAGTGGTTTAAATAGCTGAAAGGATTTCTAATTAGATGATGTGTATATGAAAATTCCATTAAAATTCCTAAAAACTAGGTCCGTGGTAAATTAACCTCGATTAGGTCATAATAATAGCGTTTTCCTTCCTCGTCTCAAGCTAAAATCTGCATTCGGCTCTTTCGTTCCACGTGTCTCAAAGGAATGGAATGAACCTCTTTCAGTTTTAGCATGTCAGTCTCCTTTATCTGTATTTAAGCGTATGTTAAGTGATCATCTAGGCTTTCAATAATTTTTATGTTTATTACTCTTCTCTTAAAATGTATCACATTTCTGTTTTCTCTTACAATGTATGTCTTATAGTAGCGATTCTTTTTAGAAATCTTTTAGTTTAGGTTATCATGACGTATCTCCGGATGCCACAAATCTTTTTGTGCTTCTTCGTGATATCCTACCTTTGTGTAAAATAAATCTATCTATCTATCTAAGATTATAGATCGAGCAGAAAAATCAAAAACCAACCATCTCTGCAGTTTTGCACAGTACTGTAATTTTAAAAACAACGTGATTCTTAGCAATCATATTCTAATGCGAATACAACAAAAAGGGCGCTAATGTTCCCTTGTTTTTGGGCCATCTACTTTATTTTTTGGTATAAACAAAACAAAAAAGATAAAAGAGTGTTTTGGCACAAAATAAACATATAGAAATATGCACCAAAGCATATCACTGGAAAAAAAATAAAGTTGGTTTTGCGTTGTTGAAAAGTGCTTTTTCTTATTCAACACATTCGATAACTTAGAAGATTTTGTATTTTTAACGAGGAGTACTTTCAAAAGTTTAGGAAAAGTTTTCAAACTAATATTATTCTCCCTTGGTAGCTTTTTTGCGTTATCTTGTTTCAAAATTTTTCCCAAAGTTTTGGAAGTATCCCTCGCCAAAAATAGAAAATATTTTAGGGTATCGAGTGTGCTGAATGCGAAAAAGCACTTTTCAACAACTCAAAATTAACTTTGTTTTCTTCGTCATATGCAATTAGAATAGACTGGGAATAATGTTTCGCTGCTCAGACTCAAAGGTCCCGATACTCACCAACCCGTACATATCTTTCTAAGGTAAAAGCACGTACAAAAAAAAAGTTTCGTCGTCTGCAGTCGCAACAATAAAGCCACAAATTTTTTATAAAAATGTACCTATAAAATATGCAAAAAATTTCAATTGTCTGGGAACAAAGCTAGGTTTAGATAAAACATATTCGAACTCGAGTAAAAATGGTAAGAAATTTATACTGTGGTCTTCGAAAAATATTCAAAAACATTCTAAAAAATGAAATGAAACTGGAAAAAACTTTTTTTGCGCGTTTTCGCTGCCACATTTCGTGTGGCTTTTTTTACTTGGTTTTTTACACCGAAAAACAATGTGCAGAAATCGAGCATGTATTTAATACAGATCTACGGTCGGTGTACAGTTTGTATGGATACGAGGATATAACTAATTTAGCTTTGTGTCAAGAATATTCAATTAGACACTACATATACACGTATTGGATTAAACTTCATAAACACCTTGAAGAATTCAGTGAAGCTGCTGTAGCATACCACCAAACTTGGTCTGCCCCGTGTCACTTGGTGCAGATCAAACTTGGTCTGTTTCGAATGGCTACCGCTCCAAGAAAAACATACTATAAACCCATGTGGTTTAGAAAAAACAGTAAGTTTCCTAAAAGACTCGCTGAAAAGGCGTTGCATTCGAGACTTGATATTCTCTTTTTTTTATCAATATGCATGAAAAACAGTTTGGCGCATTTAAATATTCTTCAGCTACCCTTGAAATACTTCCCAAAGATACCATCGTGGAGCAAAAGTTAAACGTCACATACAAAAAAAGATTTGAAAGGAAAGACATGCACTGCTATGAAAAAAAGCAAAATTTATACCAAACTATTTATTTATTTATTATTTTTTTCCTTTTGTCTCAATCACTCCCTACTTCAGTTTTGTGTAAATGTATAATCTTTGACTTTATTAGTTGCGAACCCTTAATGGGAACAATAAATTACATATCAAAAAACAAAAGAAAAGCTTTGTTACGCAAATGCAAGAAAGAAATAAAAGTTTCTTTTCATTCTCGTTACTAGGCGCTATACAATATGTGTGTAATAGAATGAGTAGGTTATGAGAACTTTTTTACTTTGTTTTATCACTGTGTTAGAGAAGTCAAACATTTAATATTCTCCAATGAAATTCAGCCAAGTAGAATTATTTTTCGTTGCATCAGTGTCACTTTAGTGGATGCACTTCGATCACAGCCCACATACTATATGTCTTTATGTGCGCAAAATACAGAAAAACGGCTGTCAGATATTATATGGGTAAGCCAGTCATAAGGGAGAAAAATGGAAAACTCTTTTTTAACCATGAGAGAGAAAATATTTAAAGAAATGACCTGAAAAATGTCGTCTAATGCAGAGCGAAAAAAGCGAAGCAAACTTCTTTTAGAATTCGAAAGTCATTGAAGGTCATTCACAGATATAAGTTTCTAAAGCTAAGCGACCGAGCGAATGCAGACGGGTGTTACCTTATTCCCTTAACTTTAGTCGAGGGTATTATAAAATACTTTTGCGTTCTGTTTATCCGCAAAACATGGAAACAGAAAATTTGGAGTAACAGTTCATAGACTGAGCAATCAGCACATGCACATGAGTAGCATATTAATGCACAAGAGGAAGAATTGCTATGCAAAGAAAAAGAAAAGAAAAGTAAAATTCCGAACAAACAAAGAGAGTGATAGTAACAAACAATTTTTTCTAAGTCAAAATTTAGATGTCGCACAAAACCAGCCATCTATAAAATTTATGTTTTACTTCTGTTTACATATCCATTGATGCCATTATTGCTTTTGTGCGGTTTTTGACATTGTTCGCGTAGAAACATTTTCCAGTAGGATTGTATGAATTTTTTTTCATGGGCTGATAACACGAAGCGTCTCCTTTTGTTTTTTAAAATTGTCATAGGCTTCAGCAATAATCAAATAGAAAAGACTAATGTTTGTATGATCGTCTGACGAATATTTACCCAAATGAACTAGTCCTTGCTTATAAGTATCAATTGCTTTATCAAACAGTTGCTGTTGTGCATAACACAGACCAATATTAACATACGAGAGGCGAATGTACCTGTGATCATTTGGCACGCTATCTCTGAGGTTTTCAAAAGAACGAATAACTTTTTTTTTTAAATAAGCTGTTTTTTTAAATAACGAACTCAGTTTTTTTTGTGCTGCTGGCCGACGGTAAAAAGACAATCGGAAACTTCACTTTTGTGATAGCCATCTGTTCGACAAGCTACCATGTTCTCTAGAAGAGAAATTTTGATAATTTTTTATAAGACTCTTATTGTACTAGCAAGTATTTTTTTATTTTTCACAAAATATACTGACTCGAGTGTACTGTCCTTGGAAATGGGACAAGTTTGAATGCAGAATAAGAAGAACGAAAAGACATATGGTATTACTGATATTTTGATATTCATTATGCATAGAATAGGAAAGATAACAACGTCAAAATACCACTATATCAAAAATATTCATTTCATTTATTTTTTTTCAGAAAGGAACACGCAGTGTTGTACATAAACCAGGCTTCAAAATAATAAGAAGGAGTACTGTACGTCCTGTTAGACGGATTGGTCCTATTTATTAACTTGAAAAACGGCAATCAGAGGGCCTATAAGCCACCGGCATGAGTTTAACACTCATAACCTATGTGGAATGCCTTGTACTTTCATCAGGATACTTCATTTAATATAAAAAGTGTGTTTCTTTTCAAGAAAGATTGATTTTAAAAAAATGATAGTATAATTAATTACTTTGATGGTAATAATTGCAAGCAATTTTTCAACATGTTCCTGAGGTTGTGAAAGAAAGTTTTATAGCTTATTTTGTAGAGAATTGCGCGCTCTACAAAACGCACTAACTTACATCTTGCGGGAAATCTAATGGACGGCGAAAAATAAAGTTTATTGGAAAAATTTTGTTTTTAAAATTACTAATTTTTCAAATAGTAGGCTTCTGAAAAATCCAGTTTCCGTTCGAAAAAATTTAGAAACACATGATTTTGTTCATTTTTTGATCGATTTTCGAATGAGACGTCGTTCAAATAGAACGGATAAAATTTAACAAAGTTATAGGCAAAATGTCACGGACCTCACTTTTTTGAAAATCTTCGATACACCTAATTTTATAAATTCTATAACTC